AATTTCCTCGATGCCATACAGACCGTCATCAAAGCGCTCAACCATCCAGCGCAGATTCAAACAAGTATTCATTTCGAACTCTCGATCTTCATCTTCAGAATCAGAGTCGGCTTTAACGTTAAGTCGGTTGGCCTCCGCCTCGAGGATTCTTCCAGCTCGGAGACCGTCGTTGTACTTCTCCTCGGCAAATTTGATTTTTTCTTCTTGAAGCTTGTTAATCTTAGCCAAATGAGCATCACGGTCCTTCTTCAGTAAGTCTTCAACCTCGGACCGGCTCTTCCGAGTCACCTCATGAGCCTCTTGTTCTTTCCGAAGGAGGCTCTCACACCGAGATAGCTGCTCTTCTAGTGTTTTGACGCGCTGCTCGGAGGTAATAACCTGACTCGTCAGCTTCAGAACATCATTGTCGAGGGAAGCCTTATCAACTTTCAAAGCCTCGATCTCTCCCTGGGCGATCGTTAGCTGCTCAGATTGCTCTTTGATTCTAATTTGCAGCTCTTTCTCCTTAGCTGCAGCAACCTCCTTCAGAGATGCAAGAGCTCCATCTCTGAGTTCAAGTGAATGTTTTTTCTCTTCAACCTGGGCCGCGTTCAAACGGAAATCATCCTCGGCCATAACCAAACTGACAAGCGCACGACCCAGGCAAGCCTTTGCATACTTAAACTTATAAACACTCGCCAAAGAGGACACGCCGATCTCGGCTCTCGGATCCCATACCATCATAGGGACCCGAGCAGCATCAATAACGTGACTCGGCAGTTCAACTGTGCTCGAAATCTCAGGAATCTCAACTGACTCGAAGGTTGAGAACCATTTCTCGATCGATTCCCGAGGCTGCTTGAAGTTTAGAAATCTTTCTTCGTCAATCGGCAAGAAAGACCGATCCACGATCGGTTCCTTCTTCTTTTTTCCACGATCACCAGTATCGTGTCTCTTCTTCATCCGCTCCTCGGCTACAGGAACACTTTCTGCTTGCCTCTTTCTCGCCCGAGTAACTGGCACTTCGTGCTCAACAATAGCTTCCTGGCCACCATCAGGCTCATCTGAGGCTAAATCGATGAAAGGTGGGTTTTCAACTGGAGCAGCCTCAACAACCGGCTCGACTTCAGGTGCAGTAGCAGTGGCAGCGGCAATAGCGGCCATCGGACCTTCTGCCGCGACAACTAGAGGATTCGGTTGGGGAACCACAACCGCCGCCACCGACGTTGCACCATCACCAACGTCGGTTCTCGGTGGATTCATGATGGGGTTCTCCAGGTAAGCTTTCACCAACTTCTTGCGACCCATTCCTGTCAAACGCAATTCCTTGCTTTTTCCAACTTTGGTTCGGAGGTCTAGATTCGGACTGCTCTGACGGAAAGCTCTGGCGTCACGAGTGGTCTTGAAACCGAGAACCCCAATAAGTGGATAATAAACTGCAAATACAAAATCGAGCTGTTATTAGTCCCGAAAACAGCCGACTTCAAATAAGATGAACAAGAATTTTATTCAAGCTTACCTGGTTGGAACGAACTGTCAGAAATCTCGGGACAAAGACCAACAGCTTTCAATCTCGTGTTCTTCAAAATCAACTTAAAGCTGCGTTGAGCCTTCTTCAATTTGAACAACTCGGTGATCCTCTCCTTTAAAATTGGACCGAGTTTTGATCCCTTGCTTTTGGCTGCAAATAACAAGACCTGTTAGTACAAAAATAAACAAGGTCAGAGAAACTTGGTAAAACAAAGACAAACAAAAAACTTACAAACTGCAGAATTAATATTGATGGGGATTGTCATTCCATCAATTAAGGGTTTCGAAAATTTTGGAGTCTGCCAGTCTCCTCCGACCCATAGCCACTCTTCCTGAAATCCATGGAGCGACTCAGGAATGTCGGAAATCAAATCACCGATCTTCAACCCCTCTTGAGGCCTACCCGCACAGGCATAGCAAATCAATGGGTCGGCAACTTGTCTGTCGGTACATCGCCGAAATGAAAACAGACTCCTAATCTCTTCAACGGTCGGCATGTCCCAACCCTTCTCCTTCAATAGCACCATAAGGCCGATTATTCTTTTCTATGAATTTGGTGCTATCTGACACAGACCAATTCCCTAATTTCTTAAGTAGTCTGTAATTAAAGCCGGGAGGGAAAACCGAAGTCCAGACCTCAGCGAGTCGGCAAATACACCAACACAACCTGGAGGCGGACACGTGATCCTTTCGCCTGGATATGGCGCGAACAGTTTAACCGACGAGGGAATGTAGACCTCCTCTCGAAGAATCACGATGTCGGCGTCAGTAAGGATGCTTGGTTCGCCGCGATATTCATCAATTGATTCAGGCCATCGCCGAGCTGGACGTCTCCAATAGTCGGGAAGCGACATCGCATCTTCTTCGACTTTCTGGTCTATCTCGACGATGTCTCTATTCAGATTCAATCGTTTAACTAACAAAGGATCCCACCGATAATACTCAAGAGGCAGTTCCAAATCCTCATCGGTGAAAACCGGAATATCCGAAATCGTTCGGCTACTGCTATTCTCAGTTTGTGCAGACATCTTTATCTTCGAAATCGATGAAAAATACAGAAAAAATTCGAAACAGAACAAGAAAACGAGAAAGATTAGGGCAAACTCTTACCGAAACTTTCGAAGAACTCTGGATTGATGAAAAGATCACAGAAAAAAAGCGAGTGCGCAAAGAAAATACGTAAAGAGAAGATTGCTGAAAGAACGCAAGAGAAATCGAAGAAAAAGGTACAGAAATTTTTTGCGCCTCAAAACCGACTTTAATTTATAGGTTTTGATTTATGACCGTTAGAAATATCCGGAAACGGCGCGTGTAACGGACGTGTCTTCAAAAGACATAACGTTACAGTAATTATTACCTTACGTGGCCATATCCTGAGACGCCATGTCGTCACAAAATTGTATCCGTTGGACCCATTTAATGCGGACACGTCTTTTAAGAGCCGCCATGTCAGATCAAATACCGTAAAGTGTCGAATAAAGTGAAGTGTTCTCATGTCGGTAAACGACGCAAAGCAAGTCGGAATAAGGTGAAACAACAAACGACATCAGCAATCATTTAAAAAGCTTCAAATACTTACTGATGTCGGGGGCCTCACTGTTGATATCAAATTACCGACTTCTTAAGAATTGCCGATTTCCGAAAGATCCAACTTCCGACAGACCTTCAAAAGGATCAAAACCGACATCCGAAACCAACATAAGTAAACCGACTCCAAGTCAACCGACTACCGTAAAGTTTGAGCATTCCAAACAGAAAGTAATCATTAGAAGCATCTGATTGGACCAACAAAACGAAAAGGCAATCATTGATGTTTCCCGCCGCTTCAAGAGAAGTAGCTTAACATTAAATGTGTCTTTATCCATTTCCAGCAAGAAGACAAAAGCCACCGTACTATAAATAGCAGAATTTATGATAGTACGAGGATCTTTCCTCGAACACATTGTACACGAACATAAAATGATCTCGGTTTTCAGCTCAACACCGACTTCTGTACTCTTGTGAACATAATCAATAAAATCCAATTAAACTTTTATCCTCATTTTCTTGACATCAACTGCGTTTAATTTTGAGTTGTTAATTCAAGACAGCAACATCACATATGCAAGACTAGATGCCATAAGTCAATAAAAAATGATTTTATTTATTTTAGTGGACATGGTTAATTTTTTTATTTTATATACAATATGGATAATATAGTTTGTTTGAAAAATGGAGAATAAATAAAAAAACATTATTATAAAATGAGAATTGAAGCACATATAATAAAAAGAGGAAAGAAAATAAATAAATTAAAAATAAATTGTACTCTGATTGAATAAAAAAATGTCATCTAGAAAAATAATCTTATTCAATAGATAGTTGATGTGAGAAAGTAAATGTGTCGCTTCAAAGGTTAAAATTGAATCAATTTTGCTATGGAGCCATCGGATGGCTCGATTTATAGAGTCATTTGCATTTATTCACCAATAGCGTATTGACACGTGTCCTACAATAAATACAATTTGGACAGGTGTCAATATATTAAGTGATGGATGGCTCAATAAGAAAATCATCCGATGGCTCCATAGAATTTTTGAGAATTGCAAATACATCGATTTTGATGATACTCTCTCTCTCTCTCTCTCTCTCTCTCTCTCTCTCTAAATGTGAAAAAGCCCCAACTCCCCCACGAACCCTAGCCTTCCGCCTCCTTGGGTGTGACTCCCCTCAAGTGGCCCTAGGTCTCGCGGTCCTGGCGAGCAGCTGGCGGACCCTCGTTTCTTCCTCCCGAAGTCGGTCGTCTCTCTTACAGAGTGCCATGGAGTGAGAGTAGCGATAGATTTGGCCGGCGGCTGGGCTCCGGCGGACGCCAAGGGCTTCTTTGCGAAGGTTCGTGGCGGCGGTCTAGCCTTGGTTCTACCCTCTTCGGCTTTCTCTGGTCTTGGGAAAGTCAGGTCCTCTGACGGCGCGTGCGTGGTTGCATGTGGGCTCCGGTGTTTGCGTGGGTTGGACTTTGAAGTGGACCGGCCTAGGCGGGCCTGTGGATTTTCAAGGGCGGTTGTTGGATCTATAGCCCAATTCTAATTATCCCATTAGAGGAGTGTGTTTGGGTTGTAGTTCTAGTGGCTTTTCTCATGTGTTCGCATTCGGTTGTTAGCGTTGTAGTTCTAGTGGCTTTTCTCATGTGTTCGCATTCGGTTGTTAGCTAGGATTGTGTTGGTGCTTGGTGTTCTTGTTTGGAAGGGAGGGCGTTAGATTTTTGGTTAGTTGTGGTTTTTAGTTCGTGTTTTATTATTCTGTTGGGAGTTATTTGTATTCTCCTGTTGGGAGCTTTTTTAGTGTTGTTTTCCTATATTTAAGTTGGTTCTAAGCTGTCTCGAGCTCGCAGCCTATGAGTTAGTCCTCCCAACTAGATTCACCTGAATAGCTGATTTATTCGGCTATTAAGTTGCTTTCTAGTCCGTAATTACGTGTTTTTCATTGAAGTCTATCATTTGAAGAAAAAAAAAAAGTTAAAATTATTACACATAAAATTTCTGACCCACCAGAAGAAAATGCACAAGTCGAAGCTGATACTTAATTCAGGTAAATCTAAAACAATTAATATAGAAGGACACTATTATGCCATATGTAAGCAAAAACTAGTAAACATGTATGGATGATTTTTAGACTAGTTTACCTTAACAAGTTTGAGCTCATGCTCAATCGACTTTACGAGCTCGATCCCACACTTTTGAGCTCATTAATGCTCTGCTGAACTCGAGCTCGATAATTCGTTCACACAAATGTTCATATTTGCAGGCTCAATAGGAACCTTTTACGCATCTTACTACTTCTTCAAGCACTGGATTGTTCAACATAAATTAAAATAATACAAGTCCAGGCAGTCAAACAAAGTGTCAACTACAAAAACTACCCCAAATCCAATGTGACCACAAAGAAACCCTAACTAAAATTTGGAAACACCTGCAGCTCAATACTATTCCATTTCCACAACATTTTCTTTCAAAGTTATTGGAAACACCTGCGAGGGTGTATATATGTTGCACCATTTATTATCTTCTTTTTCTCAGTTTTTTTATTCATTAAAGAAGAAAACCTTTGAATTCGGCAGTTGAGACCAATCCAGAAAGACTACACCACAGTGACATTTTCTCCGCCAGCACCATATTATTTTACCTTATCAGGGGAATAAGCAGATACTCGGCATAAAACAGCTGCAAAGCGGAAAAATAGTTTAAGCTAGAAGCCATCACTTGCTTCATTGAAGGAAGATTGAATAACTCCTAGACGTAACAACGATAATGGCCGATACAGTGAATTTCTAAATAATCGACAAATATAAATGGGAGCTGGATGGGAAGTTTCAAAAGAGAGAACGGGAAATATCAAAGGAACAATTATAAAAGTTGTGTGCAGTGGCTTTTTTTTTTCGCTTACATTTACTGTGAAATGAATTCTATGGTCAAACTGAGAATGAGTTACCTTCCATATGAACATGTAGAAGGATGTAATTGCAGCCTTGCTTTTCAAGTCGATTGATTTTGCACGATTCCAAAGCAATAAACCCAGCAAGGCGTGACCAGTGACCTAAAATAAGTGCAGAGACAAGGCAATAAATTGCTATTCTTTACTTATGCAAAACCAAGAGCTCGATAATCTAACAAGCACGATCTTTCTAACTACACATCTTTTCATACTCAGGACATGTAACTCCACAAAAGTGCACATTGCAGATGCACCCAGTGAAAAACAACCTGATAAGACATATGCATGCATAAAGCTCAAGACTAGAGTTTCATCTTATTTTTATGTTCAGAATACCTCCATAAAAAACAATTACATGAATAATTATAAATACTACCTCGAGATTTAGCCTATAACTACAAAAAACAATTATTTCTCAAAATAACAGATATCTCCTTGAGGTAGTTTTTTCTTTTCCAAAATCGCACCCCAGATATTTTTGGAGCAATTGTTATACAAAGGCACCTTTAAAGTTGGAACATGAAAGAAATCATATGTTTTAGGCATAAATTTCATGGTTTTGTGTAAACATTGCAAGTGATAGCCCTTACGAAAAAGAATAATATTGAGGATTATTGATATACCGTAATCCACTTGCTCCACATGGAAGGGGATGTAGCTCCTATAAACAAAGCAACAGCATATGCCATTTCAAGGAGTGCAATGCAAATCCAAAAGACCTGACAAAAATGGTTTCGACAAAAATCAAACCAAAGATATATTTTGAACATTTAAAAAAGCATTTGTGCTAGAGTTGAATTTAAAACTGATTACTAACTCTCTCCTGGCCCAAACGGACAGTAAAAGATCGTATCCCGTAAATCCTGTCCCCAACAATATCGGGTATGTCCTAAAAACATGATAAAATCCAAAGTCAAATAAGCAAATTTTCTCAGAAAGTGAGAAAGAAAGGAGTTGTCACATATGATATTTCTCAGAGATTCTCTTATTTGGGACTCATTTTTGTGGAAACAAACCATTTTTCGCAAAATATGGTCTCCAAAGAGTTGATGTTAACATGCCGCACAATCACTTTTTGTCATTGTAAATGGACAAGATTCCTAAGAATATTAGCTTTCTCAGCAAGAAAATGTAAATATGCATATTATTTTGTTGCAAAAGATGCAAGCATTGGAATTCAAAGAATCACAAGTTGACACTTGCATCTCACAAAGAGAATTTACCTTAAACAATGCAATGACCACAGAGAAGAAGCTCATGAAAGCAGTTGCGAAAAACACGGGCTTTGAGAGGACAGCTGGCCTTCCATATACATTCATCTGAAAATGGCAATGCATATCAGTATCTATTACTATAAAATAGCAGTAAGGATTTACTTTACGTAGAAAGTAAAATCCTGCCTAAAAATTTAGATTTTACTACAATTGGTAACTTTCTTGAAATTCTCTGAAAAAGTGATGGTTGATTTGAAATTTGAATTTCAAATTCATTCAAACATTTAAACGAAAATATCATAAGCAGATTTTTTTTTTATGCATTCAATTTAATCTTAATTTACATATAATTACATTCCTAACAAACATTAAATTTGCGTATATTTTTAAAATTAATTACATCAATAAACAATATTAATATACATTAAATATTTATCATTTATATAAAAAAAAATATTACTTCTATAGTGTTATAAATAATAATGACCTTATACGACAATAAATTTTTGAATAAAATAATATAATACTTGAATATTATGATGAACCAAAATATGTAAAATTATTTTTTCTTAAAAAATAAATATATTTGTTAAAATATTATTTATATTAATACAAACAGATGAGCGAGCTAATATATTGTTAAAATAAAGTTTTGAAAAAATGTTCTAAGGTACGAAACCCCCGTGCATCGCATGGGATTCTCACTAGTTAGGCTTTAACATGGACCATCATCAGTCAATTAAATTCTAATAGATTGGCCAACAAGACTAAACAGATCTTTCTATCGGTGCCACAAATATTTTTGTCTGTAACAGTTTGGATAAAAACTAAGTTGTAAATCATGTTTTTGGACATATATTGATAAAGCTCTCTCAATAATGTTGGCGCCAGAATTTCCCTGTAGTAGCTTGAAAAATCAAAATTCCCCAGAAAAATTCAACTAAATAAATTAAGTTGAACGATCATGTCATGTATGTCTTATAAAATCACAAATTAATTATCCTTCTAGCATCCTGTAGAGCTTTCAGCTGAGAACAAATTAAATCATACATTGATCAGAGGAAACTATGCAGCATAAGAATCCGCTTGAAAACTATGTAGTAATATAACCATATAGGCATATACTAAGAAAAAGATTATCAATAAAATCTAGTACTTTGTATCTACATCAACATACTTATAAAACATAACTTGGAATTACAACTTGCATCCCCATTGAATATAAATAATTTGCATTTTAAAAATTCAGCAACATCATAAGATAATCATTGTTATTTTATTTTAGTTTTATATAGTTTCACATTTAGTGGTCCTATAGTAGGTCAAATTTAGACAATCAAAATGCCATGAGAAAAAAGAGATGTCTAGCTCTTAAAGAAAAAGGAAAAGACATCACACCTGCACATGCAAATAGAATGCAATTTGTACAATTAATGCCCGCACAGCAAAGATGCACATGGCTGCAAGTACAGCAAATCTCTTCCACCTAAAAAAGGGTACCTGCACATCGTTACACAGGAAAAAGTGGAATTTTCATGCATAACTTTTAAGTCCAAAAATATGAGAAACAACTTATTCATGAAAGAATCTCACATTGATGGAATAGGCAGTTCCAAGTATAAAGCTGACGAAGAGAGCGCAAAATAATGGCCATGAACCTACAACCCATCCAAGCCAAAAACTCTACAAAAAAGTAAAAGATTG